TTACATTATAAATTTATAGTTATTATTGACCTAAATACACAGATTCCCTTATCTTTTCAATATTTTAAGTGTCTCTGTTGTCAGTGCAAACAAGATTCCTGAAATAGCCTAACATCTCAAAAATGTTTGCTTCTCATGATTGTCTCATGTTATTCTTCATTAAGCTTCATTATGATGTTGATCCAATTGCGTTCATAGCCCAAGTAACATCATTTCTTATGGTAATGCTTATAGAGGACCTTGCAGTGGAAATGTTAATATATTTGTATCTTCCTCACTTTAATACTAAACAATTATACTTGGCAAATGTTGGCAGCAGAAGCAGAATTTTACCAAATCATTTCAAGTTTAGACAAATAAAAACTTCCCAAGTCTCCCTATTGTGCAAGGAGAACAATTTTTATCAACAATTTTGACATTTTCAAACAAGCAGGATTCCCATTTTCCTTTTGGCTATTATTATATCTCTTCTATATAACATCATCTCTGATGGGATTGATACCTGGCGGGGAAATAAAACACTTTGTCACCCTCACAAGCATGAATTTTCCCAGTCATATTTCCCTTATTCGGAGCCTCTCTAGACAAATAGGCAAGAACCGCCACGACTGAGTTCCACGTGACTGAAGCAGACAACAACTAATGACATGTCTACCTGATCACAATTACCATAATGTGTTGCTGCTGTATTTCAAAACAATAAAATATGTATTGCCCTTGTGGTAGAGAAACCCTTGTGGTAGAGAACCCCTTGTGGTAGAGAAGCCCTTGTGGTAGAGAAACCCTTGTGGTAGAGAAACACTATTCTTTGTTTCTCCTTGATTAAATGTATTTCACTCAAGCTTTGCTTTAATGAGCCATGTTTAATCTCAGAGAAACAAAGAATCATGTTTCTCTACAACAAGGGCAATACATTTATAATATTAAAATTCATTCATTGAATAGAACCTTTTAATCTATGGTAATATACAGTTTTTTCTTATTAATATTTTTTTAAGCGGCATCATTGGAAATACTTTTCAGCTGTTTTCAGAATTTATTTCACTGTTTCTCTCACATGAGAAGTTTTAAAAATTTCGCTGATATGCTACGTGATAAGACATGATACACAGTTCCCTATAAGAACATCCTCAGAATTCCAGAGGTTCGCTCACTAATGTCCTTTGCACCCCTGGAGTATGTCATCACAATCAAAGGCTCCGAGTACGCCACATTGTGACTGTAACAAGTAGACTAGTTTGATCCTTTGATGTACATCAAAAACGCCGAGGAGACGTATAATGGTAAAATTTACCAGCTTTGAAGTCGGGTGTTTTTCCTCTGTAATCTTCAAAGGACCATTATTAGCTTTGTGATTGGTCATTGTTTTAACCTGAAACCTATCAAATGCCTAGCCTTGTGCCTTCAATTTTGTCCCGAGATATTCCAGGGGTAAAAAGGATGAAAGTGAGCATAATCCCAGGAATGCCAATGATGCTATGAGAATGGCCCATGAAAACAATAGTGCTAAATATGAATATGATGCATGTCAATCTCACGTTGTAGCACATGTAAAACTCCTGTTGTAAAACATTTGACCCATGTTTCTCTAAAATGATTTGTATTAATCATTAATGACTCTACTCTTGGCTCTTGAAAAGATTTGATATTTAAACATATTTAACCCTTTGGCCTTGAATTTTGGTTCAGGTTGTTTATTTTTACAGTTTGATGAGCCTTAGGGTTTTTCATAAGAAGTTTGTTGGTATTTGACTACTGTAATCTTGAATTTGTATCAATGTCATTTATTTAAATAAAGCTGATACCACTTCACCCAAGTAAGCTTAATGCCAAATATTTTTGTTTCCCTAAATTATAGTTCTTTCAAAGATATTGCTTGAATTTTTAAACACTTTTCACCATAAATGACCTTGAATGTGGGTCAAGGTAATTTATTTGAACAAACTTGGTAATCATCATTACCAGCAAGTTGCAGACCAATTATCGTGATCCTAGGCCTTATGGTTCTTTAGAAGAAGTCACTTGAAGAAATGGATCAATAATGTACAAGATTACAGATGCTGCGCTGTGGAATAAGATCACAGTTAGTTTGTGCCAGGTGAGCTAAGACAGTCTAGATTACATGTATATATAGATTATATTCAAGCAAAACATACAACATTAAATTACATAACAAGTGCACAACAATAAAAAGCACAGTATCATCATTTAAAATGTGTAACAAAGGGCTTGCCATGTACAATTTGCAGCATGTATTTTATATTACATAAACATGTATATAAATTTGCGTTTGGACCATTCCAAAGCTCAAGTGTCTTTCAAAATTTGGGTGCCATTTTATGATGCATTGTTGAGATATCATCTCCTGAAACCTCTGGGTTCAAATTTTTTGGTGGTTACAAGTTTTTCCAAAAAATATACAGACCACCAAAAAAACTTTAAACAGTATAGTTCATTTCTTGAACAGCTAAACCAACATCTTTTTTTTTTTTTTTTTTTTTTTTTTTTTTCATTTTGGATGACACTTTACTCCTGATGCTTTTGAGATTTTGAAACCTTCCAATCAAAGGACTAGGGGTGTTTAGGGACATTTCTGGCTCATCGGGGATTTAGAATTAGTTGATATATTCCTAATCTGGAATAAAAGAAGTACGCAAATATGAAATTTCACATTCATTCGACAACTAGTTCAGAAGATATGACATTACAATGTAAGCCATAAACGTGCATAATAAAATGCGTGAATATCGTCTCGTGCGCTTTTTGGTTGAAAATTGGCCTTTTTGAAGGAAATTAATGAAAACATTCTTAATTTTTGAAAGCCTCTGCATGCAACAAACAAACAAGATGCCCAGAGGGCCTGTAACGCTCACCTGGATGGCAAAATATTCTCCAAATGAGATCAAAGGGAATATGCCAGACCCCAAGGCCAATCCTTATAGCATATATCTCTATTAGATTTTTTCATGCCCAGCAATTTTATGTAAGGTTATGGGGTGGGGATCTCAACTGTTTAAAAGTTATGACCTAGGAACTATGTCTCCAAAGGTGGGGGCCAGACCCTAGAGCCATCCTCGAAGCAAATGTGCATTCTTCTCTTTATACTCAGCAATTGTATATATGGTTATACGGAGGGGATCTCAACCATTAATACACAGTAATACACTTTTTTTGGACCCCACCCCTTAGCCCGGGGAATCAGCCTCACCATTTGTACAATTTGGAATCCCTGCCTCCATGCTTCCGACCAAATATGATCGATATCCATGGTATAGTTCTACAGAAGTTGTTTATAGCAATATGGCCGAATTGGCCCCGCCCCTCAGTCCCCTGGGGGGTCAGCCTCACCATTTGTACAATTTTGAATCCCCACCACCTAGGGATGCTTCCAGTCAAATATGGTTGATATCCATCCCTTAGTTTCAGAGAAAAAGTCGCTTAAAGCTATTTAGCCAATTTGCCCCCTTTTGGCCCCGCCCCTCAGCCCCCTGGGGGGTCAGCCCAACCATTTGTACAATTTCGAATCCCCACCACCTAGTGATGCTTCCAGCCAAATATGGTTGATTTCCGTCTCTTAGTTCCAGAGAAGAAGTCGTTTAAAGAAATTGTTGACGTACGTTAAGCTCACTTTGGACCCGGTGAGCTATAAATATTTGACATGCTTAAACATTGTTATACCAGTGTTCATTCTAGAAAGGATTTGATTGTTTGTCACATGCGGAGGCTTCATTTCTGCATCTTTCCTGACCAAAAACAACATAGTTTGGCTATTTCTGCATAGCAACAACTATGGTAGGGTATTGTCGCATGCGCATCAGAAAAAAATTACACCACGAAAGATAATCCCAACTAACTAATATGATGTTTATAACAGAAAATAAGCAAATAGATTCAAGTTAAAACTTTCACTTCTTCTGAGGCCAAAAATGACCCATAACCCCTCAAGTCCTTTTATGTTGCTATGCTTTTATTCAACTGTGCAATTGAATTCTCATTTGAACATGTTTAAAGCTTAAGCACAAATAAAGATACCCTCCCAAAAACTGATGGGACATTAACGATGAAATATTTGTACAAGTAAATAAATGATAATTTAAAGCTACTATTTAATGAAAATAAATGAAATGCCCAAATATTGTGCTACTAGTGTAAGCAGAATTGGTCCCTAATTTTCTGTAAAAAGTGCCAACTTAAATACAGCACTAAAAATTCATATGCAATCACAACAAAAGAAGATATATACACTCTGATCTGCCTAAACCTCAAATATGTGCGTTTCATGGGTTAATACGCAAAAAAAATATGACATGTGTATATTCACTGGATAACACATTACATTATGTGATAAATAGAAATATGTGCTTTGTCTCAAATATGTAAGAGCTATCTCCCTTAGTGATATACAGCAGTAAGATAGCATATCTCCTTAAATCTATTCATTTTTTAGCAATAAACAAGTGTTTTTGTACACAACAATGGTCTGCAATGTATTACTGGTCAACTGTCCGAAATATCTCCTGGTAAATGCCTCAGTGAATAAAACATTTGTGTATACTAAGTTACATATAAAATGAAAAATTTCAAAAAAATACATGTACAAACAATGTAACATGTTCGAAAGGTAACAACCATCATATTTAGACTGGCATGTGATCAATGTCAAAAGTTTGATATTCCCTTGCTCCAATCAATGTCAAAAGTTTGATATTTTCTTTCTTCTACCCTTCACTGATCTGTCTTCTGTTTAAGCAGGAGTGATTTTCTCTTTTAACCAATAGTCTCCTGACAATTAAAGCTTAACATGCTTGTGATGTCACAATCATAACAACTAAATGACATTTTTTTTTTAAAGCATATGTCATATGATGATGATGCGGGGAAACTGGCCAAGGATGATCCCTGTTTTACTGAAACATCCTTTTTTGGAATGAGAGAAAATTCATTATTTCAACTTTTAGGGCCAGACAGAATAACTCAAACCAAGGTTTATGATTCCCCCCCCCCAAAGTGATAAAAGATCATATTGGTCATTATTATTCTGATATTTAGTGCTATACATGTACATATTGAAACATCTGTTTAACTGACTGACATTTCCTAAAAACCGGAATAATATAAAGCAGTTTGCTAAATTTACCACATGTACAGATATCAGATTTGGTCTTACTCATTGATAGAGTGAGTAAGTCTTTGTTGGTCCAGTAAAACACATTCATAACCAACTTACAAATCAGGCAAATAAAAGGCTATAACATCCGAAAATTCCAGCAAAATACCTATTTAGCTTTAATTAACAGTATAGAGCAAAATTTGTTTCGTAAACAAATTTTGTCTTTTGTGGATTAATATTCTGGTCCCCGAAGATAAGTTTACATGGTACATATGTCACAAGTTTATATTGACACTCGTTATCATGCCCCAAGGAATCAGAAGTAAATACATGTGTAACCTGACACTAGATATTGCACAGTTGGTCCAATTTTGAGCTGCAGTTCACACTGGTAAGTCCTGACATCAAAACCAATTTAACATTTAATAAACAGTTTTTAGTGTTTGAATGTATTTTTTTATGTTTTATCACCACATACATATATTACAAACTGTATGACTAAAAATTTGTAAAAGAAACAGGTTTTACTGAAGAGAATGTTTTAGTACCTTATATAGCCTGCAATAGGCCCAGGGCTAAACATGTAATCTTTCACTCAAAACTAGCATAGACTTATAACACTGACCTATGGGCTTATAACAAGATAATGAAATACATGTAGCATTTATTGGCATTTTGAATGAACTCCAATAAATTTGGGTGGGCTTATTACCAGGCATGGGCTTATTGCTGGATAAATATACTAATATAACCTGACTCGCTGAACACAACTATGTATACAGATGTAAAGATGGGTCATACTCGGTTATCAGACGAGTAAGCATTTGTCTGCACCAGTTGAAGGACTTCATCTATAAATGGGCGCTCAGCAGCACTTGGCTTCATCAACCGTAATATTATCTCCTGTATCCCGCCGGAATATCTGGAGATGAGAGAAGTTACATTTTTTAACAAAACCTACCACTACTAAGTACCTGGATCAAATTAAAGAATTTGTTTTATAGAGAGTTTCTCAGGTTTAAGTTGATATATTACCATTAATTAGTCTGACAGTGACCAATTTGGTTTTTTTTAACAACCAAACCTACTAAAAAGAGGCACCATTAAAAAGCCTGGATCACCGTATTTTCATTTTTTTATTTTCAACAATTGACCCCTTGCACCTTGAGACTTGGTCAATGCCATGTGTTTGAGTTTTAATAGTCACCCACACTGGCAAGCAACAGGACAAATATGGCTCTAGGCATCATAGTTCTATTGAAGAAGTTGTTTGAAATCTTAACATATCTTGGTCAATGCCATGTGTTTGAGTTTTAATAGTCACCCACACTGGCAAGCAACAGGACAAATATGGCTCTAGGCATCATAGTTCTATTGAAGAAGTTGTTTGAAATCTTTGAAACCTTGACATTTGGTTAACAAGTGGGTTTGGGTATAGGTAACACAATGTGTATACCAGAACAGACAATACAGAAGAGAGACTTACCCTGAATTTTCTGGAAACTTGACATTTCCACTAAGTACAGCCAAGGCAATACTGTCCCCTCTCTGGTAGGCTCGGTCAAACGGAGACTCAAGGAATGCCAGTGCATACAGGGTACAGCCCAATGACTGGTGACAAATGTTTAAGTTTAGTTAATGCAACTACTGGTAGAACAACAAATTATACAGTAAATTGCATTTACATATAAAAATTGTTAGTGGAGTTCAGGCCATGATTATAACAAAGAATAATATCTTATGATAATTACATAAACTCTAATGGGAGTGTTAAGTTGGAGGTAACATAAAATTACTCTCTCTCTCAAATGTTTACAGTATAAATATTGCAGTAGAACTTCATTTACAGACACTTTAATACTGTATATAAACCATTTTAGTCAGAAAACAAATTTAATATAAAACCATCCAGACTATGTGGTTCTACTGTACACAGAAACCAAAATTGTCTGGACTAATGAGGTAATGAAACTACAGTGTATTTACCCAGATGTCTGTCCGTTCATCCACAGTTGTTCCCACCTCCGCATTAAAGAGTTCCGGTGCTCTGTATAACATGGAACATCTCTCTGCTGCTTCATCCTATAAATAGAAACAGAGGAGTCAAATCTCCAACTCCTTGAAGACACAGAACAAATGTTAAATAGATATGTGCTTTTAATTAAAAACCCAAGAGTCAAAACTCATTCCGGAAAGTCAAAACATACCCTTAAGAAATCAGCTAAGCGCTACAAGCAAATAAATTCCAAATTCAACTTTTTCACCCAGAGTCACATTCGTGAACCGGCTGATCAGTTTGTTTGGGACAAGTATAACAATTACTGAGGCCCCATTTCTTTTATCTCGATCCAAACGGGTGAACTGGTTAGACAAGAGTTGTTCGTTTATGAAATAAGATAGGACCTAATAATCTGATGCTACTTTCAGGTGAGCCTTGACAAAGCCTTGCCAGGCCTGCATAAACGTTTGCAGTTCTGCCAGGATTTATACCTGAAAATGTTCATTTAACAAGAGGCCCAGAGGGCCTGTATCGCTCACCTGAATATAATTAAAGTAATTGGTATGAAGTGAAGATATAGCACTCTATGGTAGGTGCTGTAAGTGCATATGAAATATCAGAAAGATCCATCCAGTACTTGAGATATAGAGAACAAACTTCAAACAGAGCCCCACCCCTATGCCCCTACGGGGGGCATACCCACCAATTATACAAAATTGAGTCACCGTCACCCAAGGATGCTCCACACTAAATAAGGATAAAATCCCTTAATCCCGATGTTCGGAGAAGGATTTTAAAGGTTTTACCTCTATTTCTCCTATTGGACCCCGCCCTTCTGCCCCCCTCGGAGACCACACCTACTGCTAATAAAAAATTGAGTCCCCTTGGCCCAAGGATGCTCAAGACTAAATTAGGATAAAATCCCTTAATCCCTATGGTAGAAGAAGGATTTTAAAGGTTTTACCGCGATTTTCCCTATTGGGCGCCTCTCTGCCTACAGGGGGGGTCAGACACACCATTTATACAAAATTGGTTCCCCTTCACCCAAGAATGCTTCAAACCAAATATGGACCAAATCCTGTCATTCCTACCGAAGAAGAAGGATTTTGAAGATTTACATCTATTTCTCCTATTGGGCCCCACCCCTCAGGTCCCAGCGGGGCCACACCCACCGTTTATACAAAATTGGATCCCCTTCACCCAAGGATACTCCACACCAAATCTGGACCAAATCCTTTCATTCCCTATGGTAGAAGAGGGATTTTAAAGGTTTTACCTCGATTTTCAGTATTGGGCGCCTCTCTGCCTACAGGGGGGTCAGACACACCATTTATACAAAATTGGTTCCCCTTCACCCAAGAATGCTTCAGACCAAATATGGACCAAATCCTGTCATTCCTACCGAAGAAGAAGGATTTTGAAGATTTACGTCTATTTCTCCTATTGGGCCCCACCCCTCAGGTCCCAGCGGGGCCACACCCACCGTTTATACAAAATTGGATCCCCTTCACCCAAGGATACTCCACACCAAATCTGGACCAAATCCTTTCATTCCTACAGAAGAAGAAGTATTTTAAAGAATAATTTACTATGTTTTCCCTATTGGGCCCCGCCCCTCAGGCCCCTGGGGAGCCAGACCCATGGTTTATACAAAATTGGTTCCCCTTCTCCCAAGGATGCTTCTGACCAAATATGGACCAAATCCTTTCATTCCTTCAGAAGAAGAAGGATTTTAAAGAATAATTTGCTATGTTTCCCCAATTGGGCTCCGCCCATCAGGCCCCTGGGGAGCCAGACCCATGGTTTATACAAAATTGGTTCCCCACTACCCAGAGATGCTCCACACCAAATATGGAACAAATCCTTCCATTCCTACAGACCAGGTGAGCTAAAAACAGACAAACCGATTGAACTGGATATGCAAAAGGGGCCCAGATTTTGACACATTACTGTGATCTTGACCTTCGGGGTATGGATTTAATGGTTGTATGTGACATATCATCAAGGTCAAGATGTATCCATCTGATAGATGAAGTTTTAAAATTAAATATATATGTATTTATACCTGTAGTGCTCTCCCTATAGAGGGCGTACTGATTTCCACTCTGGCTTTGGCCGCTGAACCGAGATCCATCAAAATTGCTTGTCCGTCATCTGACAGCATCACATTGGCTGGCTTGATATCCCTGTGTACAGTGTAACAACGGATTTATAAAGACTATCTATAAGCATCATTTGTAGATTTTGTGTAACAGCAGAAAGATAAATGCAACCACCAGACCAAGATTCGAACCCGGGACCCTCTGAACTCTAGACGGAAGCTCTACCAATTGAACTACATGGTTGGCGACGATTGACCCAGTCTAGTTCCGCTGCATTCCTCCCTCCTTTTTCTAAATCTTCCACCTGAAGACGCAACTATTTACACCTTAAGTATTGGATATCCCCTTGCTAAGCATTCACTCTGTGCTTGAAACAAGGGTTGGCAAGCTATCAATTGAACTACATGGTTGGCGACGATTGACCCAGTCTAGTTCCGCTGCATTCCTCCCTCCTTTTTCTAAATCTTCCACCTGAAGACGCAACTATTTACACCTTAAGTATTGGATATCCCCTTGCTAAGCATTCACTCTGTGCTTGAAACAAGGGTTGGCAAGCTATCAATTGAACTACATGGTTGGCGACGATTGACCCAGTCTAGTTCCGCTGCATTCCTCCCTCCTTTTTCTAAATCTTCCACCTGAAGACGCAACTATTTACACCTTAAGTATTGGATATCCCCTTGCTAAGCATTCACTCTGTGCTTGAAACAAGGGTTGGCAAGCTATCAATTGAGCTACATGGTCGCCAACGATCCACCCAGTCCAGTTCCGCTACATTTGTAATGTAACGGGACTTCCAAACTTTAGATGGATTTTTTAACCAATTGAGCATATTCTGTCACCCAGACCAGTAACACCTGTTATAAGTCTAACACTGTTTCCAACCCTGGTTCAGGTATCCCTCTGTCAAGCGTTCACAGTACTTGATACTGGCATCACCGAAACAGGTGGAGGGGAAATGCAATGGGGCCAGACGGAGATTTAAATTCCAGTGTGGCCGTGCTTATTTCGCTCCCTATCATATTTGATGTCCAACTTCACATATCCAAGGAAGGTTTCATGTGTCTTCAGCAACACTTCGGTAGATATATACCTGATGTAGGACTGATTTCATTAATATTAAGTATTTACACAAGATACCCAGAAGTGAGAAAAATAAAGCAGACATTGAAGGTGTAACAGGAGAAGCACAATGCAAAGGGACCAGACCAGGATTCGAGCCCAGGACCCTTCAGAGTCTCCTGTTAATTCTGGGGCATCTAAGATATTAGTTTATTGCATGGAAATTTATAAAAAAAAAATGGAAATCTTAGAAATTAGTTTACTAAATGGAAATTCATTATGAAATCCGATGTCCATGAACTTCAGACAATCCTCAGCTTGGCTTGGAATACTACATACTATGATTTTAAGTAAGGAGAACTCATGGTATATGTCGCCATCATAAACATCAGTAAAGGGCACCAATGCACCAGATACCTGTAAAATCTAGAAGAAGATTTTCACTTCAGCGTTGTTTTTTTCCACATGGAGTCTTCTCCCTTGTACATGATGCATACAGATGTAACAAGAGAAAGAGAAATGCAACGGTCATTACATTCCCTCCCTCAGTTTTCTAAGTCTTCGCCCCAAAAGGCAACACTACGCACAACCCAGGCTGAGGTATTCCCTTGTCCAGCTTTCACCCATTACATTGCATGCACAAGTGAAACAGGCAGTTTTACTGAGTCCAAGTTGAGTAGAAATTAAAACATTAAATACACCTGATACCTTCTCATCTTGGACAATTTTTCATGACCCTAAACACCGATATAATTGGGATTGACTTTACAAAGGCAATTTTTACTTTCCTTAACTAGCGGCTTTAGAATAAACTTTTTTTGTTTTACAACAATTATGAAATGAGTCTATCAACATATATATGAATCACTTTTGTTGGCCACGATGAAAGTGTGTAGCGGATCTTGATATCAGAGGAAATTGGAGTGTCCAGAGAAAAAAACAGGTATTCGAGTAGGTGACCCCCAAACTTTTTAACTTCTGATCCTAGCTGTCTTGATGAAAAGTAAGTGCACTACCCACTGTGCCACCAAACCACACGTTAGCCACTTTACCTGTGTGCATATGGAGGGTTGTGCTTGTGCATAACTTTCAGGCCCTGACACAGGCCGAGGAAAATCTCCCATATCCTCTGCTCTGGTAATTTGTCAGACTTCTTCACCAGTCTCTCCATAATATCCTGAGCTGATCCTTTCTAAAAAAAGTACAGACTAAAATTCTCAAAATAATTTTCAACTGCTGTTTATTATGGTTTTATCATTTTTTTTATCAGAAGTTATTAAAATTTTGTTTGTATCAGATCTCTTTCATTAATTTTCCAGATTTTTTTCATAATTACTTATTTTATCCATACTAAAATTTTGTGTAAAAAGTAAAGTGAACCAAAACACAGGGATTTTGAATGCACATTGTACATCAGAGTCTCGTTATAAAGTACCACTTTATAACACAATGATCGTCGTGTTAAGCAATTGTTCGTAAGGAAATCATCTGTGTGTCAGGAAATGGTCTGTGTGTCAGGAAATCCTCTGTGTGTCAGGAAATCCTCTGTGTGTCATGAAATGGTCTGTGGGTCATGAAATGGTCTGTGTGTCAGGAAATGGTCTGTGTGTCAGGAAATGGTCTGTGTGTCAGGAAATGGTCTGTGTGTCAGGAAATGGTCTGTGTGTCAGGAAATCATCTGTGTGTCAGGAAATCATCTGTGTGTCAGGAAATGGTCTGTGTGTCAGGAAATCCTCTGTGTGTCAGGAAATGGTATGTGTGTCAGAAAATCATCTGTGTGTCAGGAAATGGTCTGTGTGTCAGGAAATGGTCTGTGTGTCAGGAAATCATCTGTGGGTCAGGAAATGTTCTGTGTGTCAGGAAATGGTCTGTATGTCAGGAAATGGTCTGTGTGTCATGAAATGGTCTGTGTGTCAGCAAATCATCTGTGTGTCAGCAAATCGTCTGTGTGTCAGGAAATGGTCTGTGTGTCAGGAAATGGTCTGTGTGTCAGGAAATGGTCTGTGTGTCAGGAAATGGTCTGTGTGTCAGGAAATGGTCTGTGTGTCAGGAAATGGTCTGTGTGTCAGGAAATCATCTGTGTGTCAGCAAATCATCTGTGTGTCAGGAAATCATCTGTGTGTCAGGAAATGGTCTGTGTGTCAGGAAATCATCTGTGTGTCAGGAAATGGTCTGTGTGTCAGGAAATGATCTGTGTGTCAGGAAATCCTCTGTGTGTCAGGAAATCCTCTGTGGGTCAGGAAATGGTCTGTGTGTCAGGAAATGGTCTGTGTGTCAGGAAATCATCATCTGTGTCAGGAAATCATCTGTGTGTCAGGAAATGGTCTGTGTGTCAGGAAATGATCTGTGTGTCAGGAAATGATCTGTGTGACAGGAAATCATCTGTGTGTCAGGAAATCATCTGTTTGTCAGGAAATCATCTGTGTCAGGAAATCATCTGTATGTCAGGAAATGGTCTGTGTGTCAGGAAATGGTCTGTGGGTCAGGAAATCATCTGTGTGTCAGGAAATGGTCTGTGTGTCAGGAAATCATCTGTGTGTCAGGAAATGGTCTCTGTGTCAGGAAATCATCTGTGTGTCAGGAAATCATCTGTGTGTCAGGAAATCATCTGTGTGTCAGGAAATGGTCTGTGTGTCAGGAAATGATCTGTGTGTCAGGAAATGATCTGTGTGTCAGGAAATCGTCTGTGTGTCAGGAAATCATCTGTGTGTAAGGAAATCGTCTGTGTGTCAGGAAGTCATCTGTGTGTCAGGAAATGGTCTGTGTGTCAGGGAATCATCTGTGTGTCAGGAAATGGTCTGTGTGTTACGAAGATCGTTTGTGTGTAAGACGACTCTTAATGTGTGTGAAAATCATCTTTGTGTGAGGAAATCGTCATTGTGATGAGAAATTTGTGTCTAGCTGACTCACTTTTCAGTTCATGTTTTCATAGACAAATTTCCCCTATCTGTATTCCAAATATTTTTCCATGTAATCATGCTGTTTCCCAATCCTGCCACATGGTGGCCTGATTAAAAAGTGTGTGTAATGAAATACCAACAATATATATATATCAATTTGAAAACAATTATAAAACAACTTATTGCAACTTACGTTAATCACTCTTGTTGGTAGCATGCACGGTCTGAATGTGGGAGAAAATCTTCAGTGTGTGAGATAAAATGTGTGAGGATTTCATCAGAACGTGATGAAAATATTTGGTGTGAGAATGTTGATGATGTGTGTGGAAGTCATCTGCATGTGAGGAAATCGTTGGTATGTGATGAGAGTGTCGATATGTGGCGGACATCGTCGGTATGTGATGAGAGTGTCGATATGTGACGGACATCGTCGGGATGTGATGAGAGTGTCGATATGTGGCCGACATCGTCGGTATGTGATGAGAGTGTCGATATGTGACGGACATCGTTGGTATGAGGAGACTATTGATGTGAGGAAATTTTCGGTATGTGAGGAGAGTGTATCGATGTATGACGGCCATCGTCAGTGGGAGGAGATCGTTCATGTGAGGAAATTTCCGGTATGTGAGGAGAGTGTGTCGATGTATGACGGCCATCGTCAGTGGGAGGAGATTGTTCATGTGAGGAAATCTTTGGTATGTTATATAGCAGAGTGTATCGATGTATGACGGCCATCGTCAGTGGGAGGAGACTGTTCATTTGAGGAAATTTCCGGTATGTGAGGAGAGTGTGTCGATGTATGACGACCATCGTCAGTGGGAGGAGATTGTTCATTTGAGGAAATTTCCGGTATGTGAGGAGAGTGTGTCGATGTATGACGGCCATCGTCAGTGGGAGGAGATTGTTCATGTGAGGAAATCTTTGGTATGTTAGCAGAGTGTATCGATGTATGACGGCCATCGTCAGTGGGAGGAGATTGTTCATGTGAGGAAATCTTCTGTATGTGAGGCGAGCGTCGAAGTGTAATGGACATTGTCAGTGTGAGTAGATTGTTGGCGTGGGAAATTTTCAGTATGTGAGAAGAGTGTGTCGATGTGTGATGGTCACTCACACTATAGCAAGGCATTACGATGAGGACCTCACTGATGATATCCAGTGTCTTGGTGTACTTGTCCACCTGTACCATAGTGGACACCTCCAGAGGGATGAGGTTCGTGTGTTTGAATGTCTTCATCAATTCCACCTCCTGCATAGCCGTCCTCTCCTCGTCCTTGGAGTGACATGTGATCCGCTTCAGAGCATATGTTCTGTGTGATCGTGCATCTTCAATTAGGTCAACGTAGCTGAATCCTCTAAAAAAGTATCACAAATAAATGCAGATAAATTGCAAAGCATTAATTGAAAGTTGAGCCTCATAGATTTTTATTATTTAATGGAACTCAATTCATACACATACATTTTTTTATCTCTTTTGCCTTAAAAATACTGCAGCTATCAACTCTCCAAATTTTCTATCCAGTTATGCCATAAAAAAAAAGAAAAAAAAAAATAATATATATAATATATATATATACAAATACTGCAGATATAAAACTCAGTTACAATATGATTCCATACACTTCACGATAATAACTTGTGCATTGATACCCTTAACCTTAAAATTCCTTTTTTCATAGAAACCTTTCTCTTGAATTTTTGTTTTCTTCTTCAAATTAATTTCTGCGTTATAATTCAATGTTTCAAGCTGAGGAAGAGTCAAGCAGATACAGAGCAAGACCCTCTAAAACATCTTCAGTGAATAAATTACTTAATTACCCTTCTCCAAGCCTGGAGCGTACAATGAAGCGCCTGTCATTGATTCGGAGACTTTCTCTCCCGCAGACACATCCCATCTTCAGTAGGTAGGTCAGGCCAATGGAATTCATCTAATAAACAATGATCTGTTACACACCGCCAATACCATCCTTCAGCGCACCTACAAACCAACAAATTACTATTTATTTCATAGGGAAATTTGGTTAAAGTTTTATCAATATATTTCATATATATTACTCCTTATTTATTCATTAAGAGCTCATGTGTGTGCTTGATAATATACTATACTGGGCAGTACGTACTTCTCCAAAAAAGTGTGTAGATTTGTCACCAGGGTCATACAGACAACAGAGGTTAGGTTTTTGATTGAGTGCTTGCATTATTCATTTTCTGGATACAATTAATTGCAAGAAACCAGACTTCTGTGGCGATTTTTGTATACATTGGTTTTATTATAGGCAGTCTTTGACATCACCTGAGGCTGTGCAATGGATGTTTTTTCCACATAGATAAAATAGCTATAATAAAAAAATAAAAAAATTGGCACAGAAACCTGGTTTCTTGTATCCTAAAAATAAACAAAAACCTGACCACTGTTGTTTGTACGATCCCGGTGACATAAATATTGTTCCTAAGATAACCTTTATGTTGATTAATTAGTTTTCCATTTGTGCCCATAACTATGCTATGGATCCAAAATGTATTCCTGTTATTGTACATATTGATCACAAAGTGACAAAAGCACATAAATGACTTCTTTGAATCGCTGAAGATGTAGAAGTTAAACTGGAATAATTGGTCTATTGCATAGTCAATCTGGTCTGGTTGATTGGTGGTGACCTGCAATTAATGCATACAGGTTTCTCAGTTGCAAGAGCTACTGGCACCCGTACATGTCTATAGAGTTTGAAGGTTACTGGGTTGACTCATTACATTTTAATAATCATAATTTTACAAATAAGTTGAAATACCCGACCCATTTTAATGGGATATTTACAAGATAAAACCCTAACTTTGGCTGCATGTATTTACTACATTTTGTATCTAAATGCATATAGGATAACTCAAAGAAAAAGAAATATATCTTGGTTAGAGTATGTATCTGATTTAGTTTTTGGTCTTGGTTAGAGTATGTATCTGATTTAGTTTTTGGTCTTGGTTAGAGTATGTATCTGACAAGAGTTTTGAGGACCTCACGCAGGGTTGGAATCCTCAGGTGTGACCTCCACTGCTTTTTCCTTTTCCTGCTATGGTAGTGCCATGACCAACCCTTGTTTCAAGTTAGTAATGTGTGCTTTGCAAAACCCTTTCTATTTTTACTCCAATCGCAATTCAAAAATATAAATTTCGCTCTATCTTAATTTTACTCCTCATCATATTTAGGCCATAATAAATTATTTGCTAGATTCTCATCCCCGCCCGCCCCCTTTTTGAGGCCCCGCCCCAATTTTTTTTATTTGCAAAAAAAAAAACGATAATACGAAATCCGGATTTTTTCCCCCGTTTTCCGCTTCAAAAGTTAGTTTTATATTATCAATTTCCGGTTGTAGAAAACTCGTCGTCTGCAAGTATGGTTTTTGTAATTCTAAAGCTGAAACGGCAACTTGCCGTTCTTAAAGATTGGTATGGGTGTTCAGTAGCCGATACTAAAACATTAATGCAAGTCTTTCACGAATTAGCCGAAGGAAAAATTGACAAATCTGCGCCCGTCGAGTGTGGTAACAGGGCCGTTGTGTCGGCCGGTAAATCGAAAGTGGAACTGACCCAGTGTGATGGCGCATGTACGGTGGGGGAAGTGGTGTCGTACCTCGGAGCTTATTTAGAATTTAATATTGATGCTGATACAGAAGAGCAGTCGGCAACTGCCAGTGCGAAATCCGACGCATTTACAATTTTAATGTCGGGATTTTCTAAAGCAACAATGGCAAGGTCACTGTAATTAAAAGAGGACGATATGTGAAAAAGTAATGTGGTGTGTATTCATACCAAAAGTTAGTACAGATATATATGTGGACTGAACAGTGAAATGGTGTTCAATGTGTATACTGCATACTCAAAGTTGTTATTAACAAAAAATAAAGATAAATGTACACTGAACATGCGCCTTTATTGCACTATTTTAACACATTTGCAACCATTTCAAATTTTAGGAAAAATAAAAAATAAAAA